CCTTTCATATACCCATCCAGATGCCTTTTAAATGTTGTAATTGTACCTGCATCTACCACTTCCTGTGGCAGTTCATTCCACATACAAACTACTCTCTGTGTGGAAAAAGTTGCTCCTCAAGTCCCTTCTAAATCTTTCTCCTCGGATACAGGAGATTACCATCGCTCATCCAAGCCGCTCAACATCCTGACCATCCAGCTGCATTATTTTCAGTGTCAAAATCCTGGAACTCCTTCCATGTACCTACACCAAATGTCTGCAGCGGTTCAAGCAGACACCTCACCAGCAAGTTCTGAAGGGCAATTAAGGATGGGAAATAAATGCTGGCCTAGCCAAGGACACCATATTACCAAAAGAAAAGAAAGTTTTAAGAGATTCAGCTGATAAAGAAGGTGCTGTTTAGCTCCACGTACTAACACTTTTAAGATAAAGACCAAAAGCCGCTTCAGACTTGTATCGGCTACAGCACAGCCTAAGGGAACAATATTTTTAAAATATACATTAACTGATGCAAATGCCGAGGAGCAAATCCAGTATGCCGTGTAGATGTTAGATCAAGCTCTTGGGGATGTTATGTGATGTTCAAGATGCTACATGAATGCAAATTGCTGCTGAGGTTAGCTCTCCACCCTTTGTGCTTTCAATCGCAGTTGTTGTTGGCTCACAGGAAGACAGAATTGGCGGCATAAGCTGCCGGAGCTGGGGTGGGCTGCAGGGTAGTGAGCACAGTTCAGTGTCAGTGTTTTGTTGGTCACGCTGGGTTTCGCCATGTTGGTTAAACTTGATGATTCTGGAAAATGAGTAGATGGTCTGTAAGGTCCAAAATCTATAAATGCCAGTGACCAAAACCTGAGCATTTTGTATTTAGTGTATTACAGTAGAAGAAAAGGCAGATTGATCTATTGAAAATGATCCAGGTTGGCATCATGCACAGCAACACTGGAATTGATATTATATCTGTAGCAGGTACACAAGGGAGGGACTGAGCTATGTAGCACCTTTTGTCTGCTTTTTAATGTGGGTGTTTCCTTTTAATATTGAGACATGTACTGTTCAAAGAAAAATAAGGTTTAATTATGGCTCTCATTTAAATTGAGTAATGTGTCTGAAGCTGTTAGCTTGAGAAACACAAGTCAGAAAGAGCGATCAAGTCTCCAGGGCAGGTTAGTAACAGGGCATGTTATTGAAGGACAGATATGTTGTTGTTGCAGGTTCACAGCAGTCACAACTGTTCATTTGTTTTGAGGAAGGATAATTAAGTCTGTAACTACCGAAGATCTGCAATGTATTATTTTTTCTTGTACCTTATCCAGTGTGCAGTAAAGTAACATTTTGGTGCATAAGCTGTAGATTTATGAGGGGTTTATTTTGATGGCTTCCAAAATCAAATACAGTCACCTGTAGACACCCAAGATATCCTGTGAAGGAGGGTAGTTGAGGTGAGTAACCTTACAACCTTTAAAAAGTGCTTGGATGAACATTTGAAGTGTTATAACATTCAAAGCTATGGGGCCCAGTACTGGAAAGTGGGACTAGTGTAGGTGGTAGTGTGTTTTTAGCAGTACAGACTTGATGGGCCAAAGGGCCTCTTCTGCACTGTATGAATCTGATTCTAAATGCAACAGTAAAGGATTTTATTGTTCATTCTTTAGTCTCAATACCAATGATATTGATATTGAGCAGGCTGAGGCACACTTCAGTCTGAAGGGGTTGGTGCCCGACGCATAGCAGTAGTCAGAAATGCAGAATCAGAAAATTATCAGAAGTAAAAATACAGCAGCTATTTTTGTTCAACAATTCCTTTTAAAATTCGGGTGGGGGTGTGTGCGCGCGTGTGTGTGTGTTGCATTGTGGTGATGTTGCTGGAGAAGTTATCCAGAGACCTGGACTGCTGGCTCTGGAGATTTGGCATTTAAATCCCAATCTACTGCAGCTGGTGGAATTTAAATTCAATTAACTAAAATGCTGTTCTCATTAATAATCATGAAATAACGGGATTGTTGTAAGACCCACCTGGTCCGCAAAGACTGTTTAGAGAGATCTGCCATTCTCACCGGGTGTGGCCTATACTGAATTCCAGATATGTAAGCAACGTGATTGACTCTTCACTACCTTCAGGAATAATCAAACAGACTCCCTCAGTCACGGTCATCTCACAATCATGTCCTTTTCAAGGGCAGTTTAGTGATGGGTAATAAATTCCACACATTTTCCCTGGAATGTCAGAGGCTTAAGGCCTTATAGAAGTTTCTAAAATCATGAGGAGCATGGATTGGGTGCATGGTCAAGGTCTTTTTTCCTAGGCTGGGGGGATTCCAAAACTAGAGGGCATAGGTTTAGGGTGAGTGGGGAAAATTTTACAAAGGACCTGAAGGGTAACTTTTTCACGCAGAGTGTAGTGCGTGTTTGGAATGAACTGCCAGAGGAATTGGTGGAGGCTGGTACAAGTATAACATTTAAAAGGCATCTGGATGGGTATATGAATAGGAAGGGTTTAGAGGGATATGGGCCAAATGTTGGCAAATGGGAATAGGTCCGATTTGGGAAGTCTGGTCAGCACAGACGAGTTGGACCAGAGTCTGTTTCCATGCCGTATAGTTCAATGACATGTTGGCTCATTTCGCAATGGCAGATTCAAAATACTTTATTGTCGGTTGTGAATTGTGATCCTGCAAATTATAATTTCACTTCTTTTGCTTTTCTGCCTTGCTGTTAACATTTGTACAGTTCGTTCCATTTACAAAACCACCCTATTTTGAAAAGACTTTGTTCTGTCAGCATTGTTTACTGTTCATAAGTTGCAGAAATAAAATTGCTATAAAATACTCTAATGGAGTCTATTTCATATTGGGAGGCATTTTAGTTTTTTCATTAATCTGATCTAAAGTTTCAAAAAAGTTAAGGGGAAATTATGGAGAAAACATTCCTACGTTATGGACCTGCATATCTTAACCAGATAGACTTCCTTTTCTAAAGAGTATCAAGGACACACAAACTGCAGAAGTTAAGCCTCTTTGCCCTCCTATAAATGAATTTATCATCGAAAAAGTCTCAGCCTGCTATTGCCAGTAAAAGCAGCACTTCTATCCTGAGTTTGGATTTTGACTGACTGGTTCACGTTTGAGTTGCACTTGTTGGAGAAATACATTGGAAACATCAGCCTTCCCAACTTTGACAATTGGTTATAACAATGTCTTTTCTGAGCCTGTCTGTACAAGCCAGCAATCTGCTTCCTGTACATTGGCCTCCCTGAATCTATAAAGAACAGAACGGCTTACATTTCTAATTCACTTTTTAGAATGTCCCAAAGAACGTACTTGATGAAGTACTTTCTGATCTGAAACCCCTATTGAAATGGAGAAAGCACAGCAGCTAATTTGCACAAAGCAACTTTCCACAAACAGCATTGTGACATGACCATGTAATCTGCTTTAGCAATGTTTGAGGGATGCACATGTGTACTAGAATGCTGGGGACAGCTCCAAAATATTGCCAAAGAATGTCCACCTGAGAGAGCAGGATGGGGCATCAAATTATCATCATCTGAAAGAGGCACCTTGGGCAACACCATTCCCTCCGTGTTAGACTGGAGTGTCAGCCTAGGTCTTTGCGTTCAAGCCTCAGGAGTGGAACACACCACCTTCTGCCTGCAAGACATGAGTGCTACTTACAATTGACGCGATGCTTTAACGTTCCAACATTTGGTAGTGTTGACAGTAAGAAGGATAGAAGTTGCAGTGACTTATTTGAAAATGCAGATTTACGGTGGAATTTAAGTCACATTTTAGAGAATGATTGAACCATGAAGGTACTGACCCTGCTAAGACAAGCACAAGAGATTTTAATACAAATAAATGGCTATTTACACATAAAACAACCAGGCAGTGACTTTGCAGTTGTTCCAGAGGCTAGAGGCTGTGGAGCATCTCCAAAAACTTGACCTCTTGCTGCAGTAAGATCGCACTTGCACGTATTCTTTCAATCTTAAATGGTCCACGTTGCCTGGAAATTCTGATCTTTTCCCAATTAAAACAGGTAGTTGCGTTCAGGTTAACTTCAGCTTGAGTTCAATTTGAAACTTACTTTCAGCAGTTTTCCCCCTTGTTCTGTTGCTTGCAATCCTGTGTTAGTTACACTTCAGAATGTCAAGTGTCTTTTAAAAAGTCATTGGCTGCTTTTGAATGCCTTATTAAGTCAGTCTTCTCCTCAAGTACAGAGCCAACATTTTGCCAGAAGTTGCCCTCTGAGCTCATGATACATCTATTTAGACCTTTTTCTTCCCTCCTCCCCCACACCCATTATGAAATAGCTGAACACCACCACTCAATCATAAATCTGTCACAATGACGTGGTTGACCCAAAGCCCCTCTCCAAGGAAATCAACTGTAATTTTCCCCTGAGATTACTTTCAATCATTCATGGGATGTGAGCAAGACTGAGGAGGTCAGTGCTTATTGCTGATTCCCTAATTGCCATAGAGAAAGTGGTGAGCTGCTGCCTTGGTCATTTTGAACAGGCGTCACTCTGAACTATAAACATACAATGAGTTTACACTTCAATCTGTAGGAAATTATGGTAAAGAAAGATTGCTACAGAATGGTGACATTGGAATTGGGCCTTATTTAACAAACACTCTCTGGTTTGACCCTGAACTCTGATTATTTTTGTTCCATTTGAAATTAACAGCTATTGTCAAATGCAGATCACAGTTGGTTTTAATTCTGGTTGAAGTGTAATCATAAAGACTTCTCATCATTTCTTCTGCATCTAAATACAGTCTTTGGAGTGAGGCGGCCCTATACATCCCATTTGGTGTATTGCTTGTAGATTAAAGCACTTAACTCAAAACTTGACGTACTCAGAAGTGCAAACCAAGTGGTTTCATTATCAAGCTGATTGCTTTTTATTCTGTTTGTTAGAACCTGCAATAACTTCAGTAACAGCTTTAACTGGTATCCCCACTTCCACTTGCTAATTTTATTTCTTTTTAATTCTTGCAGGCGCAGAAGATGTAGTGATGGCCTTTTCCAGACAAGAAAGTGAGGACAGGCGGCAATGAAGGGGAATAGTTACTGATGGTTGGGGGCAGGCAGCAAGATTATCGACAATGTGTGTGAAGATTCCGGGGTGTTCATGAGTTGCTAGTCTCCTCATGTACTGCAACATCACAGTTGTGTATCTGTGATAACCAGTGTTGCTCATCAGGACGGCCTCTACCGACCAGAAAAAAAAGACTTGTTTTTTGATTGGCAGACAGGACCCACTGTCCCTCTGTTTTATTTCTATTTGTTTGCGTTGGTTTTAATTTTTTTGTAAATACTTGTGCTGAAGGCCATGAGCAATCTAAATGCAGCTCAGAATGCAGTGTGACTAAAGCTGGTCTGTGCCCCTCATGCTCTGCACTGAAGCATCACTTATCTCCTCCCACTCTAGATGCTGATGCAGTATTTTCCAGCTTTTGCCAGTGGACTCTGGAGAATTGATTAACATTGCACATCCTTTACAGCAGAATAATAAACACAGTGGACTGGAAACAGCACCATGCACAGCATTCAGACAATTTGAAATGTTAAATTAGCTTAAATTGTAGGTCCTCCTAAAACCAGCTTTAGTTATCTGTTCCTTTTGTCTCAGCAGTTAAGCAGTACACACAAAGTTTTAAACATTTAATGCCATGACCAAAATGTAATCAAATAGCTTGTGTGTTTTATTTTCATTTCTCTTGGCCCATGTCTGCCTTTTTAAGGGAAAATGATCACCCAAGCTAACAGTTTACTAAAAGAAAACACTAGCTTCAAATACCAGAGAGGACAAAGACAAAAAAACTGATTTAAACAACATTGGGTAGCAGGGAAGCAGGCCATCAGGAAAAAGATGTGGTTTTTAAAACATTCAGAATGGCTAAATTATTGTTGAGGATGCAGTTGCTAAGTAAACCTATCCCGTCGGCCCTGGGAGAATGCAAGTATCCATTTCATTACCTTTGTGAAGCCTGGATGTTCACAAAGGGAAAGTCTAGTGTGTTTTAATCATTCATATTTTACAACGTATGTGTCAACCTGCCCAGCTGTCTGCAGTTTTGACTCTGTCCTAGTTTTAGTACTTCTTACTCTGAACTTGCTCTCAGTGAAGCGAGTGTTGCATCTGTACATGTATTTTAATGTGACAGCTGAATTGATGTTGGGATGCCATTGCCTGGTATGACATTTACAGGTATTTTTTGAAGCTGTGTGCTTCTAAATTAGCTATACCCTGGCAGATTCTGTGCTCTGAACAGTATTGTCCTCGACTTGGGTTGCAAGTAAGGAAATGTATTGATTTTTTTTTCCCCTACAAATAAAACCCAGCAGAAAACAAAGTAATAAGAGCAGTCTGATTGAGAAAACACCGCTCCTTGCTGCAATGCTGTCAAAACTTGCTTTCCAAAATGATTAACACCTCCCTCATCTGAAAGAAAAAAAATTAAAATTCTGCTCCTCACACAAAATTTTCAGATTAATAGGAGCTAATCTTTTGAGTAAAGTGCTTGTTTCTAAACTGATGGGGATATTTCAAAGCTTCAGATGGGTTCACCTTTCATGAAGTGCTGCTATATCTTGATCAGCACAGTCGGATTTATTTTTAGCAGAGATACTCTACATATTCAACACTTGTGATTTAGCTGACTCTATTGTGTACTCTGTATCTATTAAAAATTACAGTAAATGTATCCTCCATGTATCCCAAGCTCATGCCAGTTTGAGATGCAATGCGTTTGCTACTTCAGTCGACTTACCCTGTTTAACAATCACTCATGTTTTATAGTTGGGTGAGTTGTGAAATCTTCTGGAACTTTACCCTAAGACAATGGAAAATGCATCTGAAAATTGTCACCTATATTCAATTTGAGTTGAGCATTTTGTCTTTGTTTCCCCTTGTGGCTGTGAATTGTTTGCATTTGAATTGGTCCCTGCTGGAATTATTGGTGGGTATTAGAAAACAGGATTGTTTCATTTTATGTGAAGTTAGCAGTAAACTCATTGTTGCTTCAATGTACAGAGCTTAAACCTTGCTGAAAGGAGAGCCATGCTGTTGAAGTTTTTTCTCTTGCACTTTTTAGGATAAATGCAGGAATGCCACATTTTAAATACTTTGTTCAATCAGAATTTACTTGCCAAGCAATCAGCATCCTTTTCTCCTGTAGTATAAATTGTTGTGATGGTTTGGCATTGTTGCATGTGTCCTGAGGAATTAATGGTGATAAGTTTCAACAAATTGTCTCTTTTCAGTAATGACAAGTTACTGCTGTGTTATGATCCACTGGGTGGACCATTACTGGGTATGTATTGGGAGGTAGTGGTATAGTGGTAATGACACTAAGCTAACAATCCGAAGCCCTCGGGTGATGTTCTAAAGGCATGGGTTCAAATCTCACTGTGGCAGATGGCGAAATCAGCAAGAATCTGCAATTAAAAGCTTATGTTGCGCTGACCATTTTCATTGACAGTTGTTGACTGTCGTAAAAAAAAATCTGGTTCACTGATGTCCGGTCTCCATGTGATTCCAGACCCACAGCAATGTAGTTGACTCTGAAATGACCTAGGAAGTCATTCAGTTCGAGGCAGTTAAGGATAGGCAACAACTTGCCAGCAGTACTAATCTTCCTGCAAAAATAAAGAAATTACATGGTTACAGGGTCACAGCTGTGTCCTAAATACTGTCTAATTTACGAGTTCAGTGTTCTGGATTGAAGCTATCTTCAATATCCATAATCCCCAACGTTGTTATCGAGGAAAGATGTCAGTGCTATTGAGGTTTAATGGCTCTGTAATATGCTTTGCAAGCATAAAACAGGCATCCGTTGGTATCTCAAAACAATGTCTCGTGTGTGTGCCTGTAATGTATTAAGCCCTTACTTACACATGCATATTTGGTGCCCCTTTTGCAAACTGGACTGGCTGCGTTCAGAAAAACACCTAAATGTGGCCTAACCAGCAATCCTTAATTTATGAATAATGCCATACTTCGTGTACTAAATGAGAGCTGCATCAGTGACCAGCTTGTGCCACCTCAGTGGGATTCCATAAAACTCACCTTCTTACAGCTATCGAACTGCATTGGCAGTGAAATAGCCTTTGTTTGGTTCCCTTTCCCACTTGTGTCAATTGTGACAGAAAAGCAATTTGTTTATGGCTATGAAACTGTCTATTGCCTATACTGTAATTCAACTGGATTTTGCAATGCATCCAATAAAGAGGTTGCTTTAGTTTAAAACTAGAGGCCCAAATATATTCATCTTTAGTCCTGCCCTCTGGCAGTGTAGTTAGTGTACATTTCAGTTTTTGTACCATTTTTTGCCCACCTGGTTTTATACATTATACTGGGTACCTATACTGCACTGGTTGATAGGGATGGTTCAAGCTGTAGGGTTGCAGGTACTTTGACGTAGTGGCCATTTATATTTTACTTACTATTTACCCTTCAGTTAATGAATCACCTCATTGGGGAAATGGAGACAGCACATTTCACTGCTGCAGGGAAGATAATTAGCTGTGGCACACAGTTCAGCAAACTGATGATTTAATGGCTGTACACCATTACTACAGTGCTGTAAACTTGCCCTCCCAATATCCCCAAGTGTGTTGCCAATATTTTCCAGGAGTCCTTACCCAGGTCTTTGAATCGTTGGAAGTCGGGATTACATGACTAGCCAGACTGAACACTTTATCTGAACTAACTGCAAAGCATTAAAGAAGATTCAAAGTTTATTTCATTGAGAATTGCGGGTGCATATGGAATCTGTTTCTAAATATAATTCAATGTTATTTTGTGTTGTGTCCAACATAGGTGGTTTATTAAGAGGTTACTACTTAATAATGAAGGTATAAACAGAGATAACCATCAAGTGCAGGGTGTGGAACACCGCAATCCTGTGCTGCTGAGACCAGGGAAATATTCTTGCAAGGTTTAAAGTGCAGGCTGAATACGGCAGAAGTAAATACTGGACTTTTATTTAGAAATACCTTTAAGGAGTACAACAGGAAAAAGATTTTGCCATGTTATCCCCAGAAGGATAATTTTTGTGTTATTTGAAGTATCGTTCGATCAAATTTTCAAACCCCTGTGAAAAATGCAATCATAAAGACCTTTCTTCATTCTGTAAAATAATTTAGATCTGACCTTTTGAACTAATCAAGTTGGTATAAATTAGCTTTCAACTGGAAGATCGAGTGAGAAAACCTTGCGTTATCCTTTGCCTTACTTTATAATTGTTTTCCTCACTTTATGCTTATACCTCCTTCTCCCTCACCCTCTCCTGTCTCATTAGATTCAAACAATTATTGTCTTTGTGCCCTCCTGCTCCATCCTCCAGTTTTACTAAATACTAATTGTAAATGTAGCTGTGTTTGTACTCTGGGTGAATGTCTATACACTGCACCCTTGCAGTAATTCTTTCTATCATTGGAACAGGCCACAGCCATCTATGCCTAAAGATCTTCTGCACTGTACTGGCTGGGTTCCAGAGCTGCTAGACTCCAGTGTTACTGAACAGGAATGAGTCTTGTTTACCCTAAGCATCATGAGACTTTTTCCCCCAAGCTGATTAAATCTTCCTGTTTCTGTTCAGTTGTATTTTATAATATAAGTCTGAAAATAAACTACAATGCTTCACTGTGGCAAAGTAATTTTTGATAGGGGGGTGGTGTTGGAGAGTAGAAGGTTAATAAAAATATCATTGTTGTCCCAAGACCTGCTGACCCTAATGTGTCATGTTTTGTAATAAAAATAAAAAATTGTCAACTATGCCTCTTTCAGATTGTTCTGTATTCCAATTTTGGTATCTTTGTGTATCCACAACTGACACGGAGTACATGAATAAGAAATGTTTGGAGGGATATGGGCCAAGCGCAGGCAGGTGGGTCTAGTTTAGTTTGGGATTATGGTTGGCATGGACTGTTTGAACTAAAGGGTCTGTTGTATGATTCAAGTTTCATCAATTTCTACCACCATAACATCGCCTGACTGCACACTTGCCTCATCTCATCTACCATTGAAACCCTTATCTATCCATCAACTCGAATCCATGCCGAGTCTCCCTCTAAACTTGAATTTGTCTAAAACTCTACTTACAACCTAAATCCCACCAAGTTCCTCTCCCCCATTTCCTCATTTATTTACATTGACACTCTGATCAGTAATGCATCAATTTTAAGATTCCCTCCTTTGTTTTCAAATTCTTCCATGATGTTGGCCCTTCCTATCACTGTAATCCCTTCCAGTCCTACAATCCTGAGATATCTGTGCTGTTCTGATTCTGGCCTCCTTGTGCATATCCAATTTGAATTACTTCACGATGGCCATATCTTCAGCTACAAATGGCCTAAGTTCTAGAATTTTCTATCTCAACCTCTCTGCCTCCCCCGCCCTCTCTCCCTTTTAGGATGCTCCTTAAACCCACCCCATTGTCCAAGCTTTTGGTCATTTGCCCTAATATTTCTTTGTGGTTCAGTCAAATCCTGTTTGATCATGCTCCTGTTAAAAGTGCAATGTAAATGCAAGTTGTATTGAGATTGATGACTGCTAGCATATCCAATGTTATCTTAATCTAAGAAAGATAGCAAGAGTATTTTTCATTCTTGATATATTTAAAGCACACTCACATTGTTAAACCAAAATCTTTGAAGCTAAGCTTTAGTTCAGCTAAAGAAAATGAAATAGATCCCCTGCTATAATTACCTTCAAATTAAACTTTGCAAACTGTACAATTAGAATTAATTAAAATCTTACACCTATTTGCACTTATTGCCAAATTTTATTGGAAATTTCAATACCCATGTTTGTGATAGAAACAGAAGCTAATTGTATAAACCTATTGCATTGTACTTCGAATGCAATGCAACCGCTGGTATGTGTATAATTACAGCATGACAAGTTTACATATGATGGAAACTGCCCAAATATTAATGAGGAATGCTGTAATTTAAAATGGGAGTGCATTCATTTTGACCCGAGGAGTGCATTATGTCCATGCACACTGATCCAATTATCCTTCACCTGAAGAATAAACTAACCATCTGCACTTCCCCTGGATTTAAACTGGATGATGTCAACAGGGACATTATTTGGGTGGAACCAAGAAATAGAAAAGGGACGATCACCTTATTGGGATAGTATTATGGACACCCCAATAGTCAGTGGGAAATTAAGAAACAAATTCGTAAGGAGGTCTTAATTATCTGTGAGAATAATAGGGTGGTTATGGTAGGTGATTTTAACTTTCGAAACGTAGACCAGGGACTGCCATAGTGTTAAGGACGTGGATGGAGAGGAATTTAAGTGTGCACAAGAAAATTTTCTGATTCAGTACATGGATGTACCTACTAGAGAAGGAAACTTGACCTACGCTTGGGAAATGTGGCAGGGCAGATGACTGAGTTGTCAGTGCGAGAGCACTTTGGGGCCAGTGACCATAATTCTACTAATTTTAAAATAGTGGTAGAAAATGATAGACCGGAAATGAAAGTTAAAGTACTAAATTGGAGGAAGGTCAATGTTGACAGTATTCGGCAAGAACTTTCAAAAGTTGATTGGGGGGAGGATGTTCTCAGGTAAAGGGGCGGCTGGAAAATAGGAAGCATTCAAAAATGAGATGGAGAGTCCAGAGACAGTATCTTCCTGTTAGGGTGAAGGGCAAGGCTGATAGGTGTAGGGAATGTTGGAGACTAGAGAAATTGAGGTTTTGGTCAAGAGAAATTGAGGTTTTGGTCAAGAGAAAGAAGGAAGCATATGTCAGGTACAAACAGCAGGGATCAACTAAATTCCTAGAAGAGTATAAAGGCAGTAGGAGTAGACTTAAGAGGGAAATGAGGAAGGCAAAAAGGGGACATGAAATAGCTTTGGCAAATAGGGTTAAGGAGAATCCAAAGTGTGGAGAAGGATATGGAAGATAGAGAATTCGGGGAAAATAAATAGTGATATCTTGAAAATTGTCCATATTACAGAGGTGGAGGTGCTGAATGTCTTAAAACGCATTAAAGTGGATAAATCCCTGGGATCTGATCAGGTCTACCCTAGAACTCCGTAGGAAGCGAGGAAAGTGATTGCGGGGCCCTTTGCTGAGATATTTGTATCATCGATAGCCACAGGTGAGGTGCCAGGAGACTGAAGGTTGGCTAACGTGGTTCTGTTATTTAAGGAAGGTGGTAAAGAAAAGCCAGGGAACACTAGACCGGTGACCCTGACATCAGTGGTGGGCAAGTTGTTGGAGGGAATCCTGAGGGAGAGGATTTACATGTATTTGGAAAGGCAAAGACTGATTACGGATAGTCAACATGGCTTTGTGTGTGGGAAATCATGTTTCACTAACTTGATTGAGTTTTTTGAAGAATTAACGAAGAGGATTGAAGAAGGCAGAGCAATGGACATGATCTATATGGACTTCAGTAATGCATTTGATGAGGTTCTTCATGGTAGACTGGTTAGCAAGATTAGATCACGAGGAATACAGGGAGAACTAGCCATTAGAATACAGAACTGGCTCGAAGGTAGAAGACAAAGGGTGATGGTGGAGAATTGCTTCTCAGACTGGAGACCTGTGACCAGTGGTGTGCGACAAGGATTGGTGCTGGGTCCACTGCATTATGTCATTTATATAAATGATTTGGATGTGGACATACGAGGTATGGTTATCAAGTTTGCAGATGACACCAAAATTGAAGGTGTTGTGGACAGCAAGGAAGGTTACCTCAGAGTACAACAGGATCTTGATCATATGGGCCAAGGAGTGGCAGATGGAGTTGAATTTAGATAAATGTAAGGTGCTGCATTTTGGAAAGGCAAATCAGGGCAGGACTTGCACATTAATGGTAAAGTCCTGGGAGTGTTGTTGAACAAAGAGACCTTGGAGTGCAGGTTCATAGTTCCTTGAAAGTGGAGTCGCAGGTAGATAGGATAGTGAAGAAGGCATTTGGTATGCCTGCCTTTGAGGTTGTAGGTATGCTCGCCAAGCTGGTGGGTTTGGTTGCAAATGTTTCATCACCCTGCTAGGTAACATCGTCAGTGCACCTCTGGTGAAGTGTCGGTGTTCTGACCCGCTTGTTATTCATATGCCTCGGTTTGCTGGGGTGGTTGGTATTACTTCCGGTGTTTGTTTCTCAGTAGTTTGTACATAGGGTCCAGTTCAATATGTTTGTGGATGGAGTTCCGGTTGGAATACCAGGCTTCCAGGAATTCTCTGGTGTGTCTCTGTTTGGCTTTATGGATAATGGATGTGTTGTCCCAGTCAAATTCATGTCCCTCGTTGTCCATGTGTAGTGAAACATGAACACCAACTAGCCACCAAGAGACATGACCAATTCTCACTTGTCTCACTACATCATTCCAACTGGAACTCCATCAACAAACACATTGAATTAGACCGTGTACAAACACTGAGAAACAGAACCGGAAGTAATGCCAACCACCCCAGCAAACTGAAACTTAGAAATAACAAGCGGTACGGAACACCGACGTTACACTGGAGGCGCACTGATGATGTTACCTAGCATGGTGACAAAACGTTTGCAACCAAACCAACCAGCTCGGCGAGCAAGTCTACAACTTCATCCTCAACCCAAGCTACAAATCTTCTTGAAAACTTTATGTTTGCCTTTATTGGTCAGCGCATTGAGTATAGGAGTTGGGAGGTCGTGTTGCGGCTGTAGAAAACATTGGTTTAGCCACTTTTGGAGTATTGCGCTCATTTCTGGTCTACCTGCTATAGGAAGGATGTTGTAAAACTGGAATGGGTTCAGAAAAGATTTACAAGGATGTTGCCAGGGTTGGAGAATTTGAGCTGTAGGGAGAGTCTGAATAGGCTGGCGCTATTTTCCCTGGAGCATCGGAGGCTGAGGGGTGACCTTATAGAGGTTTATAAAATCATGAGGGGCATGGATAGGGTAAATGGGCAAGGTCTATTCCCCAGGGTGGGGGAGTCCAAAACTACAGGACATAGGTTTAAGGTGAGAGGAAAGATTTAAAAGGGACTTAAGGGGCAACTTTTTCACGCAGAAGGTGGTGCGTGTATGGAATGAGCTGCCAAAGGAAGTGGCGGAGGCTGGTACAATTTACATTTAAAAGGCATCTGGATGGGTATGTGAATATGAACGGTTTAGAGGGATATGAGCCAAATGCTGTCATCTGGGACTAGATTTATACAGAGTTTCTGGTCAGAATGGACAAGTTAGACCGAAGGGTCTGTTTCCACGTTGTAAATCTCTATGAATCTACAACTGCTAATGCCAATGTCCACTTAAACACCAATGCTCAATATTCAGCAAGTAATCACTGGCTGTAGAGATGAGAAATTGAGGTTACTGAAGGGTCTGGTTAGCATAGATATAAAAGTCAGCAACTGCAGAAACAAAAGATGCATATGCAGCATTTTACTATGTGCTATGGGAATTCCCCAAATGTGTGTTTTGTGTATTCCAGGGAAGAACTAAAAGAAAGTTGTTGTAAAGGCATTCTCCCAAAGCAGCACTTCTATGGAAATGCTTTTTGGTTAGAATATGAAAATATGTTTTTTTTTGCCAGTTTTCACCTCTAATCCTGAACTATTCATCCCCCTGTTATTCCTCATTAATTAATCCAGACAAAGTGTAACAAGCAATAATCTATTCAATTTATTCTCACCCTTGGCACTTCCAAAAGGGCAGGGTTTCCTAAAGTGGGGGTCAGAATCACAAGTGTGAGCATAAGATCTGAGGCTCAATAGCTACCCAGGAGCTCTGACTGTGTTATACAGCTGTGCTCTATGTCTAACA